CATTGTCTGTAGTAAGTAGAAATAACTCTTGTTTAGATTTATTTGGTGGGTATTCTTTCTTAATCCATCGAGAACTGGCACTTTCTTTGTAATTAAAGAAAGTGGAATTTAGCGATTATATAATTTTTAGAAAATTTTTGAAAACTCTTTTCCATTTAGTAAGCTCAACGAGGTTTTTAAGTGAGCTTTCTATTTTTAATCTTTTTAGAAACGGGTTCTTTAAACGTGATCGGTGAACACATCATACATCGAATTTACAATTCAAACTTAGTACCGCGCGAATTTGGAAAAGATTGCTTAAAAACCACCATTCATTAGTGATCAATACTGTAAATACGGTAATAGTTAACCAAATGGTTAGTTTGTGAAGCCATATGGATTTTATTATAAATACGGTATGTCATTTTTTTAATCGCAAAATTTTTACCCAGCATACATTCTCAATAATCATTTTTATCAAAAAATATGCCCAAAAATACTATAACTATTGAAGAAAGAGTTCGGGCAATTACTTTACTTGAAGAGGGTTATAGTAGTCGCAAAGTTGCAAAGAAACTTGGCAATAATATAAATCACACCTCTATTCTCAGGTTGAAAAAAAAGTATGAAGAAACTGGAAGTGTTAAAGATAAGAAAAGAATAGGACGTCTATCCATACTAACTAAACGAAATGAACGAACAATTATTCGGCGAATAATGAGTAATGACTGTACCACTGCTGTTGATGTCAAAAGATCATTAAAAGTGAATGAAAAAGTAGAAGTAAGTACCAACACAATCCGCAGAGTACTCAAAAGAAATGGATTGCGTTCAAGAGTAAAGCAAAAGAAGCCTTTATTATCTAAAAAGCATCGCAAATCCCGGTTGACTTTTGCTAAAAAATATCAACATTGGACAATAGAAGATTGGAAAAAAGTTGTCTAGTCCGATGAGTCAAAATTTCAGATTTTTGGATCATATGGCAGGAGTTATTGTTGGAAAAAGCCTGGTGAACAACTCCAAAGCCGACATGTCAAACCTACTGTAAAATTTGGTGGAGTATTTTTGTGTGGGGATGTTCTCATTTAGGGGTTGGGTATTTCTGTCGAATAGAGGGAAGACTTAATGGAGAACTTTATCGTCAAATCTTAGAAGAAGATTTCTTACAAACATTAGAATATTACAATTTAAATTTCCAAACTATTATATTTCAACAGGATAATGATCCTAAACATACAGCAAAACTTACTCAAAAATGGTTTGTGGATAATAATATTGAAGTTCTTTTCTGGCCTCCACAATCTCCGGATCTCAATCCAATTGAACATTTATGGAACAATGTAGATCAATGAATTAGAAATCTGAATATTGAAATCAGAAATAAAGAAGCTCTTTGGGAATGTATTGAAAATATTTGGAATGAAACCTCTTTAGAATTATGTACAAAGTTGATTAATATAATGCCAGAGAGAATTAGCGATATCACTTGTACATTTAATATTACAAGATAATGACCTTACAAATGAGTGAGAATTATTGTTCTTTGTGCATTTAATGAGAAATAAAAAAAGAAAGAAAAGTTTTGAAAGCAAAGGGTGGGTATACAAGATGGTAAAAATAATAATTTATTTTTTCAGTTTTTTAATTATTAAATAGATTCCAAATAAAATAATGTTTCCATGACAACTATTAAAGAAATATATTAGAAATCAAAGAAATTATGGCGAAAAAGAAAAAAAAAAACAAAACATAAATATTTTATTTACTCTAATCCAGAATTAAGAGAAATCTTTAGTGAATATCTGAGTAATGTCATTTGCTCTACAATAACAACCAATCAAGAATGAGTAAATAAAGTTAGTTCGTCAACTAAAAGAAACTAAATTTAACTAAAGGAAGCTTATTCTTGTTTAACCAAGATATCGGAAAAATTAAGTTGAAGTTAAAGTAAAAAACGTTAATCGTCGTAATATATACAGTATTCCGTATTTTGTGTACAGTAATACGAGTCTCGTGAATTTCGTTAGCAAAGTTTGCTTAATCGAGGTAAAAGAGTAGAGATTATCACTCCTAAAAAGATAAATGTGGTGTGACTTATTTTTATCGTAAAACTATCAAAGGAAAAAAATTTTTTTCTTACATAAATTTTCCTTCTTGGACGTAAAAGAGACCTTTCCTCTGTTATTTTTATATTATTTACAATATGTCTTCTCGCGCTAGGAGAGATTATGGCGAGGAAAATTTATGGGCTTCGTAGATGGTGCTTCATTTAAAAGAAAAACGCACACGATATGAAGAAAACAACTCTACTTCTGTCTTAAACCCTATTATAGTTGTTGTTTTTTAACAGCTTGGGCTTTGACTGGGCTTATTTTTGAGAATTTTGAAAAAAAGTTAAAGTTTGGTTGAGTTTTGAAAAAGGTATAAAAAAGAATCATCTATGAAACTACCAAACCCCTTACACAAGACTCCACCATAAAGCAGTTGACAGCAGTTTCGATGCTTTCTGATCATGACCCCTGACGAAAGTGGTCAAGGCCTTTATTCAACATTGAAACCCACATCAAAGAATTCAATACAGGTGATGTTATTTTCTTGAAGGGTAAGTTTATCGTGTGCGCAGTATTTAGTATGCGCTTTCTGCTGCTTATTTTTTTGTTTTTATTGTTTGTATTCTTCATCTTGATTTTTTTTCCCTTCAAGTTGAACGCAACATCAATCAAGGTGATGGAAAACTTGGACTTGATACCATTTCTGAGTGTGATGACGTCCCCAGCGAATCCTCACGTATTTTTGTGATCGTTTTCGCATTATGAAATGATCTTACCTGCTGCCGGATTAAATATTTTGCAAAATGTAAAATGTTGCATCTTAATAATAAATTTACGGATTATGAATTTTATGATCTCAATTGTTATTTCATTGTATGATAGATTTTTTTTTTTGAATTCTAACCGAATGAAATTATGTTTTTGTTTCTCTAATAGTTGATTAAATATGATGCATCGGTTAAAAAAATAGCATTTTTTTTTTATTTATTTTCTTTCGCAAAAAAAAGATGGGTGTTAGTGAAATCCATTTTTGACTAAACTTCAATTTGAACGTTTGTCACCTGATCTGTGTTGTATGTGATCACTGGCTAAAGTAATTTTTACGATACAGCATATTATATATGTAGAAGGTATCGTATAAGGATCGGCAACTAATAATTGACAAAAATAACGCACCAGCAATTTTTGATTAAATGTCGCGTAATTGAAAAGCATGTTAATTAATTCATTCAAAATTTATAATGTTTATTATATGATAAATTATTTATTCAATTAATAAATTATTTTAATTAGATTTAATTTGATGCTAATATATGAAACTAATGATTAACAATAATTGTGGTGCATTATTTTTGGAAGCCACTGTATATTTGTATTATTTTACTCACCTAAATATAATGTAGTACCATTAGAATGGTGGAAACACATGCACTATGCTTCCAAGATTATCTGGCTTATCTTTTTTTTTTGTGAATAATGATTCCAGCAAATTAAAAAAACGAATTACAAAATGATTAAATAATTCTTTTTTTTTTTTTTTAAAAAAAAAAAAAAAGATAAATACCAAAAATTGTTGCTCAATATAATCTTTAGTCATAATTTCATAATTAACTCCTAACTGTGTAAAACCATCTTTTAACATCGTTAAAAATTAAAAAAAATTTGATTGATCGATCGATCATCTTTTTTTTGAACCCCTTATTTGATAAACACCAAACAATTCGGCGCGGCGTCAAAACAATTTTTTTTTTGTGTGCTTTTTTTTTGAATTTAATTGGTAAAAAAAAAAAAAAAAAAAAAGAGTAGAATATTCCTTTCCGCTATCGAAATCGAATGTTATATAAATATATTGCACTAAATAATTTTGTCCGACGCTTATTACTGTAAGTACATCCAACAAATTTATCTTATACCGATTTTTTTCTATATAAACTAAGCATTATCCATTAGACTAAATTTTTTTTTTTTAAAAAAAAAAAAAAGATGCCGCGACAAAATATTATTATTTATTTTTTGATTATCTGGCTTTCCATAGTTAATTATGGTAGAGCCATAGATGTTGAAGTTGGCGACGGTGATTACACCTTTAGTCCCAGTTTCGTAGTTGCATATTATGATGAACCTGTAGGTTTTATTCTATTCAAGTCATTTTTTTAAACCATTTAATAATTAATAAATCATTTATTATTAGGTAACATTTATAAGAATAGGCACTAAGACTTTTACACTCTATGAATCAGATACATCACATTGTACAAAATCCGAAAGACCTGACGCTTGTATGTAAAATTTGAAAATTTCTTGTTATTATTTTATTATTATTTTTTTTAAAAAAAAATGCTTTCATTTTATAAATTAGTTTATGCAGTATTAACGGACGAACAGCCACGAGCTACATTTAAAGCTAAAAATACCGGAAGGAACAAATTTTATATATTTGTTAATAAAGGTTGTGATTTTCGTAGTATATTTAAAATTAGCGCCAGTGAAAATCCGGATCAACCCTCGAAAGTAAAATCACTAAGTACCCCACCTCAACCACCAAAATATTCTGATGATAATAGCCCACCTAAACCACCAAAATATTCTGACGATAATGGCCCACCTAAACCACCAAAATATTCTGACGATAATGGCCCACCTAAACCACCAAAATATTCTGACGATAATAGCCCACCTAAACCACCAAAATATTCTGACGATAATGGCCCACCTAAACCACCAAAATATTCTGACGATACTAATAATAAGTTTAATAACAATAGCTCTGGCAATCAATCATCCTTTATTAGTATCGTCGTAGTTTATGTTATAATAGCCGTAGTTACGGTCTATTTCATATAAAATAAATACTAGACTAGTTCTGTATGTACTTATTTACTTATTTATTAAATGCTGTAATAAAAAATTGAAATTTATTAGCCAGGATTTAAAAATTAACGAGTGTTGAATAATATTCAATGGTCATTTACTGAAATATAATTCAAAACTTTGCTATAGCGTTTTATGAGTGATTAAAAAAGTATTATCTATTGATGTTAATGCTTTAAAGCTTAAAACTTTATTTGTTTACAGTAAATCAATTATTGGCACAAATTATATATGCACTCTTATCAGGTTTCAAGTTAGCTCACATTCTTAACTTTAATGATCTTTAACGAAATATACAAATTGTGTTCATATTGCCACTGATCATTGTCTTGTAATATATAAAAAATGAAAGATTTTCAAAAATTCTTGATGCCATTTTTAAGAAAACATATTACTGTTTACTATTACTGTATTCGTTATACTATTTCAGTATTTCGTTATACTGTTTCTGTATTTCATTATATTGTTTCTGTATACTGTTTTGCTGTAATGTTTTAATGGAACAGAAGTTCTTTATATATCAAAAAAAATTCCGTGTTTTTTTTTACAAAATTTTATGTTTATAGTCTAGCTTTTAACAAATTAAAATCATGTTATTTGTGTAATATAAATTATTAGATTTGTAAAAAAAAGATCTATACAGAGTAGCTGATCAATGCCTTTTTACTAAACCAAAATATATATATATAAATTTAAGCTTAACTTTTTAAGGGTAGACAAGATGCGATTGACCACTAATTTGATTATTAAATTAAAAAGATAAAACAATTAGTAATCCAAAACAATATTAAAAAAATACAAATACGCAACTTACCTTCGCCTGAACAATCCAATCAAAATCTGAATCTAAACCTAAAATCATCTAAATAAAAAAAAATAAAATAAAAAAAAAAGATTAGTAATCTGATACAATGCAAAAAAACTGCTTATCTTAGCTGTGAAAAACCGATTGCACTGAACTGATCGCAAGTTAGGAAAGAGAAAAAAGAAACAAATATTTATTAATTAAGATGATTAGAAAAAAGAAGGAAATAAATAATAAAATAAAAAAATCTAGTCACTTACTTTGTCGTGACAGATCGATCGCATAAAACTAATCGCACGAAAGCTAAGAAAGAGAAAAAAAGAAAAAAAATAGTTATTAATTGAGACAATGTAGAAACAGAAGGAAAAAATAAAATAAAAAAAATTCAATCGCTTATCTTGCAGTAACGGACTGATCGTACAAAAACTAAGAAAGAGAAAAAAAGAAAAAAATTATTAATTAAGACGATGTAGAAAATGGAAGGGAAAAAAAATAATAAAAAAAATCTGGTCACTTATTTTGTCATGATAGATCGCACTGAATTGCACGAAAATTAAAAAAGATATTAATAAAATAATATAAAAAATAAAAAAATATTAATATAAAAGACAAAAAAAAAACAAAAAAAAACAAAGAAAAGATATAATAAAAACAAAAAAAGATCAAATTGTCACTCACCTGAACAGTTGTAATAAACCGTCTGACCTGAATCTAAAAAAAATTGCCTTTTAAGAATAGAAAAAATAAAAATATATTATTAATTAAACTATGTAAAAAAAATAGAAGGAAAAAATATTATTAATTAAAACAATATAGAAAATAGAAAGGAAATAAAAGAAAATAAAAAAAAAATCTGGTCACTTACCATAGACTGATCACACAGAACTGATCAAAAGAATTAAAACAATGTAAAAAAAAATAATCAAAATAGAAAGAAAAAAAATATATTTATTATTAATTAAAATAATGTAGGAAAAAAATATTAATAAAGAATTAAAACAATATAGAAAAAAAAGAAATAAAAAAAAATCTGGTCACTTACCTCTGCTAAAACAGACTGATCGTACAAAACTGATTGAAAGCTAGGAAAAAAAAGAAAATATAATTTTTTTAATTAAAACAAATAAAATAATGTAAAATATAGAAAAAACTATTAATAATAAAAATAATACAAAAGAAAAAAAAAAATAACAAAAAAAAATTAGAAAGTAAAAGAAAAAAAAAATAAAATAAAATAAAATAAACCTGATCACTTATCTTTGCTATAATAGACTGATTACACTGAACTAATCAAAAACTAAAAAAAATTAAAATATTAATAAAAGAAATAAATTACATAAAAATAATCCTCTAAACTAATAACACGAAAGATAAAGAAAAATGAAAAAAAAACAATGTAAAAAATAAAAATAATAAAAATATTTATAATAAAAACAATACTAAAGATAAAAAATAAAACAAAAAATAATAATAAAAAAAGATCAAATTATCACTTATCTGAATCATCATGACAAACTGTCCAATCTGAATCTATAAAAAAAGAAATCGCTTCTAGTAAATAGAAAAAAATAAAAAATAGAATTAGTAATTTCAATCAATAACAAAAAAATAATTATTTACTTTCATCATAACGGACTGATTAAGCTCTCTTAAACTAAGCTAAATAAAAAATATTCATAAATTAATTTTAAAAAATAAAGATATATAAAGGGAATTTTAATACAATGAATAAAAATAGATAATATAATTATTCAAAAAAAAATAAATCTTACTTTTACTGTAACAGACTGATCAAACTAATCAAAATCTAAATTAGACTAACCATTTATCCTAGATAAAACAAAGATAAGAGATAAAAAAATAGCAAAGGTTAGTAATCTAATACAATATAAATAAAAAAAAAAAAAAAAGGAAGAAAAATCAACAAACTTACCTTTTCTGTAATGGTTCTTTTTTTTATTATTAAGATTATTAATTACTAATTTATTTTTTTATTTTTTTTTCTTTTCTGTAGGCAATTTTTTTTTCTAGAATAATTTATTTGATAAAAAATAAATATATGAGAATATAAAAAGTATTAGAAGTTAAATTACCTATAAAATTATTTTATTTAAAATACAAAAATAGTATTTCAAAATAATCTGAGTCATTTAATTTAACTCAAATTTTTCTTAAGTCAGGACTATCATTTTTATAATAAGAGTTCTAATTTAAAAAATTTTGCTAGATTAGGATTATGTTGTTGCTTGATCTAGATCAACTTGTGTGATTCAGATGATCAGACACAGTAGATTTTTTTTATTATAATAAATAAATAATAAAAAGTAAATCTACTGAAATTAAGTATAACTTTTCTAGAAAATAAAAAGCATTGCAGAGTAAACAATAATAGTTAAAATAAAAAATTATTAAACATTAACTTATACATTTTTTTATAAATTAACAATTATTTAGTAGAATAAGTTTTTCTAATAGAATTGACCAAAAGATGTGATCTTAAAACTAATAAAATTTGCTTGTATGTATTTGAATTTCTGATAAAAAAAGGAATTTGAATTAATATTTACAAAAAAAATAATAATTTTAAAAATAAAATCAACTTTATATGATTTTTGACATAATATTATCCTTAAAAATTCAAGTAGAATCTGGATTAAACAATAATCAAGTTAAGTTAAATTCAGGTTTTGTAATTATTAATAGGTTTAAATTTAAGTATACCTTAAACCTGATCCTTACAGAATATTATACAAAAAAATAGGTAGATAACAAAATCACCTACAGTGAAAATTAAATCCTAGTTGAATTATAAATATTATTATTAGAATATGTTAATCTAAGTCTAATATTCTAAATTACACAAAATGTAAAAAAAAGAAATTCAAAGATTTGAATATAAAAAAATATGTTGAAATAAAAAATATATATATTAAGTAAAAAAATTATTTATGATATAAATAGATTTTATTGACTAGAAGAATTGATTTATAATTTTTAGCATAATTAATTTTAAACCAGTTATATAATAGAATTGATTCAGTTTAGTTAAACAGTTATTAGTAATAATCTGTATGCATTACTAAATAACTGCAATAATTATGATCACCAATGATCTTCATGAAAAGTGTGATCACCATTATTACCAATTTTATTATTATTATTTTATTTAATATATTTATTTATTATTTATTTATTATTGTTATTATCATAATTATATTTATTATCTTTATTATATTAATTATCTTTTTATTATATTTGTATTTATATAAATATCTTGTATTATTGCCTTAACAAAGAGACAAATTTCTATTTTACAATTCAATAAAGTAAAATCTTAATAATGTAAACTTATATTTTTACTAATATCTATTTTCTTAAAATATAAATCATTAATTAAGATACTCTGATTCTTCAACTTAAATAACTTGTATTTATTTCTTTTATAGTTTAATAACTTAAACTCACTATTAGAAATAAGCTTTATTATCTTAATAATGTAATGTTTAAGCCTAATATTATAACAAATATCAGCTTTATTATATAATTCAATATAGTAAAACAATCAGTTTAATTAACTTTTTGACTGAATTTCTAATTGCAATTTTGATAACTTATTTAGAAAAACTTAAATAATAAAATTTTTATTATTTATTTTTGATTTTTTTTTCAATATCATTTAATTGTATTTAGTTTTATAACTTTTTATGCTTTAAATTTTTGAAACTAATAAAATAGAAACTATAATAACAAAATTTTTCATTTATACATATAAATTGATTCTATTATTTATTATAATAATAATTTATAAATAAAATAAAAAAATAAATATAGGAATTTATAAATGTTAAAGTATGCTATTCTTAACCAAATATAGATTAACTTATAACTATTAATTCTAAATACTGCATAGAGAAAATATACTTCATTTAAAAATAATTTATTCTTTTTTAGAAAAAAACTAAAAATTGAATGTGTAATTAAAGAAGAAAATGAATAAGAAAAAAATATAATAGTTAAAGAAAGTAATAATTAAAATTTTATTTTAAAAAAAAGAATATTAATAATTAAAGTAATAATTAGATTTAAAAAAAATCATACAAAGAAATTTTCAATTTATGATAATATTTTAGTATTAAATAGAAATAGTAGTAAAATAGATTTTAATAAA